CGGATAGAAGTGACAAAAAGACGAGGAAGAAGACGTAAGAAGATGCTGGATGACCTTGGGGACAGAAGAGGATACTGTCATTTGAAGGAGAAAGCTCTAGATCGCATTAAGTGGAGGAATTGTTTTGGAAGAGACTGTGGACCTGTCGTCTCGAAAGATTACTGATGATGATGATGATGATGATGATGATAAAATCTCATTATACGATGCTTGCACTGAACACACAATTTTAACAGGCAGCATACCACAAAATCTATCTGTTCTTCTTCTGAATTAGTCAAGATTCCCAGTCCATTATCCATGACTACCACCCTTGTATCACGGAAGGTTGAAGCCAGCGCCTGGCTTGCTGATGCAGGGAGGTCATGGGCAGCTGGTCCCAAAAGTCTGCAAGAAGAAGAGATCAAATCACTGTCATTGTGAAGATGAAATTACTATTTGGTTTCTGAATCAAGCAGTATCATAACATACCTCTGAAGTATCACAGGTGGGTTTGGGTTCCGAGAATTCAGCTGCAGATACTGATATCGCCGTTGTCGATTGGCACGCTGAGCCCGTGAGCCTGTGATGCTCCCTACTTCTAGATTGTGGCGAGCCATCAATAAAGGATGACTTGGGGTGATGGGGTGTAGAGCTGAAAGCACATCACAAAACCACTATTTAAAGTGAAATTAGTGAAGTTAAAATGTCCAAATTATTTTTAAATGATAAAAAACACTCCAAATTATGACACTTTCCACAACACAAATAGTTTGTTCCTGGAACACAGGCACTATGATTTGCCATACTATGCAGTACATTTTGCTAACTGAAAAATAGGGGGACAGCATTATTAATGATCACGAGACCCATGACTGGCAATGGTTAAGACAAGCAGGCAGGAAGCATAGCACCTTATAAGGAAGAAGTCTTAATGGTATGTGACTCATGATTGGTGGTCTGGAAGAAATTCTTGCTGTGCATAATCTACCAACACTTGAGCAATAGAATTCCAAACATAATGGGTGAAAGACATAGAAATCATCATGTTAAGTATTTGTTAGCAAAGCATTAAGTAAGTCTAGAAGAAATATATCTCTTAGAATTTCTAAGCAACAGATAATACTTTGTACACTACATACAAAGTCGGCAGATATCAATACTCTTGTTAGTGCAGATATTCAGTGGTTTAAACTGCTTTGCAATACTTATGGGTGCAGCTGTTAAAACACACACTATTAGAAGCAGCAAAAAATGCATTGCAGATTTTCTTATGTTCAAGTCTAACAAGAGCTCCTGGCTGTCACATATAGTAACTGAACCTTCACTTACAGTAAAACTCTACAGTCAGAATGAATTTAATTGATACCATTAAAGACATTTTCAAGGAAAGTATAATTTTGTTTTTCAACCAAACTACAGGGTGTGGCAACATAATTTGCTGATTTGAATTTGGCACCAGGAAGCGAGATTTGGCTGTTAGAGGGTGTGGAGGGTCTCATTCGAACGGGTGGGTCGGGAAGTTTGTTCTTCCTTCCACTTTATAACGAGAATGCGTTGGACGAAGGAACAGCACGTGTTTGCGGTACAGGCTTACTTTTCTAACGGTCGCTCGATCGTCGCCACGCAGCAAGCATTCCGTGCACACTTCAATATTTCCACCCGAGCTCGTGTTCCTGGTCGGCAATCAATTGTTACGTGGGCAAACACATTCAGGAGAACTGGCAGTGTGGAAAAGAGAAGATCAGGGGAATGGCCCGTCAGATCACCCCAAAACATTGACACGGTAAGGCAGTATTTTTTGCGATCTCCTCGGCGCTCGGCACACAAGCATGCAGCTGCCCTTGGAATGTCTGATCGTTCTGTGAGGCGAATTCTTCATGATGACCTCCACTTTCATCCTTACAAGTTCGCTGTGGTGCAAGAACGCAATGAATGCGATTTTGCTGCTCGGCAACACGCATGTGAAGCGTTCCTTGAAACTTTGCCTGATGATGCGCTTGGGTTCTTTAGTGACGAGGCTCATTTCCATCTTTCTGGATGTGTGAACAAGCAAAACATGCGCTACCAGAGTGATAACAATCCCCAAGAACTTCATGAGAGGCCCCTTCATTGTGATCACGTAACTGTTTGGTGTGCACTGTCGAGAGTAGGGATTATTGGTCCCTACTTTTTTGAAGGGAATGAGGTTGCAGTTACAGTGAATTCTGTTCGCTATGTGAAAATGATCGAAGAATTTTTTTTGCCAAGTCTTGACGAAATGGATGTTGGGAATGGGTGGTTTCAGCAGGATGGAGCCACGGCACACACAGCGCAAATTGCAATGCGTGTTTTGTGGGAACACTTCCCTGGGCTCCTGATTTCTTTGAGGGGCGATCTTCAGTGGCCGGCGCGCTCACCCGATATAGCCCCTTGTGACTATTTCTTATGGGGATATCTGAAATCCCCTGTGTACACCGATCATCCAAGGACCCTTGCTCAACTGAAGGATAATATTCGCCAAGCAATAGCCAACATACCCATCGCTAAACTGGAAAGAGTCGACCGACACTTCAGAATTCAGGCAAATCAGTGTATCACCAATGGGGGGCGCCACTTGTTGGATACAATTTTTAAAACAGAGTAAACGTAAATTTCCAATGTTGTAGAATATGGAGAAAAAATAATTACAATACCTATAACATGTTTTGTTTTACTGACCCTTCAAATGAGCAAATTATGCTGCTGCACCCTGTATATGGAGTTTCTGTAATAACAGATACACATAGGTAGAAATATCAATGTACGAGTACAAAACCATTTTACATGTTTGTATGACCCTATGTTTAACCCTTCTTGCCTGTGGGACACTTTATTGTAATAATGGATGGGCACAATGCTGACTGTTGAATTATTTTCAACACTAAATTCCCAACCCTAAGTTATAGTATGGCCACCAACATGTAGTACTGGGCAATTTAAAATCCATACCCCTAGACAATAAAGGCAAAAACATCATAAGCACAAACGTCAAATTAATATTCTACTGCAACAGGTTCAATTTCAAGTCCTCACTTTCTAGATTATTTCAGCTCTTATCTTAAAAACTGTAAAACCTTTGTTTATATTTCAGTTACACCAACACATTGTTCAAAATTTTACATAACATAGAACTTTCATTTCTTATAAGGACAATGCATAACCACCACATGAAAATTCTTTATAACTTTCTGAGGACAAAGAAATCAATGATGAAAATGCATAAGCCACCTGGCTTACACATTCTGAAATGGGGGAGAAATCCGGACAAGAATTCTGAATGCTAATTATCGTTAAATTTTGGTTTTCCTATTGCATTCATATGATGACTAACGTAAACATTCCTTCTTCGTAGTATATATAAGTGAATATTGAATGATAAAGAACTTAAAATCCACACAATTTGAAGCATGAGATAACAATGCAATGATTATGCAACAAATGACACAGAATTTCTATCTAATCTGACATGACACTCATGCCAAGCTTATGAAATGACAATGGATTTCAGCAAGTTGTAACAGACATACATACAAGCACATAAAATATCAAGCAGTAGAAATATATATCAACCAATCAATTCATCTCAAGCACTTTGCTGCCAGAATCTAAAAACAATCTGGTGATGGTCAAGATATACTTATACTCAACAAATTGCAGTTAGTTACTCCTTCATTCTAATCATTCAATTAACTGATGTCTTATCATGATGTTTACCAGACTGAAGCCTGAAATCAAGTATATAAAAATGAATAACACAATAATTCTAAGGCATAGTCATTCGGTTAAAAACAAAGAACCACAAACTATCATACATGGAACAAGTCATAAAAAAACATACTTCAACGACCATACATAATTCCAAATTAACAGTCAACAAATGCACAACCTGTCTGGACATGGGTTTGCTGCAGCAAGATTCTAGAAAATGAAAGCCACATATTCTATATCCACCACCGAATGCAATAAATACTATCTGTACTAAGAAAATACGATGTTATAACACAAGGGAACTTAGACAGTTGTATTACCTGTGTTCTCATTTCCATTGACTGGCTCCTCAAAAATTCCAAATGGAAGTGGGAATGTATTGGTGTTCCAAGGAAGAAGAGGACCAGATCCAGAAGGATCAGGTTCAGAATACTGGATCATTAAAATATCTTCATTGTTTCTGTCCAAGCCAGGAATACGAAACAATCCCTCATCTGATTCAAAAAATTCAAGTCCATCCTCATCATATCCTGATCCTCCTTCTTCTTCATCCTCATTGTCACCTTCAAACAAGTTAACATTCAAGATTAGAACCTTCTGGGATAAGATGTCACACAGTCTGGTAGAACATACTGTGACACGGTGCCTAAAGGTCAGAACTGTGGAGTAAGTGCTGTGGAAGCATCCACTGTTACACAGTGCTTTGTTAAAACATACACACAACAGCAAACTCATTGGAGAGATCACTTCTAATCAGTCCATGCTATACAGAGTAAGTAGTTGCACAACCCTCAAAGTGATGAGACAGAAAAATATGGCCATGAGTCCCATGGGACCCAGAACCAAAAATAAATGTGCTGGAAAGGACCAAAAGCAGTTTACCCAAACCAAATTCACCCCAGGACAGCAATGAGGAGTCAGTCAGCAGTAGAGCCAATCAGTTACTAGCCATGAGCCACTAAGCACAGAAGCAGAGAAAACACCATTGTTAGAAGCTGCTACCAAAAAAAACTACTACTAAAGACACAGCAGACTGGGAAGACTTGGAGTGTGCTTTAGTTATATGTAGACAGTGCAGATTAGTGGAAGTATTGTTAACTATTTGCAGTTACCCATAATATGCATTCAGCAAATTCAATATCAATCCAAACCCTACATCTAGTCATCAGTCTTGCCTAGTAATGCCTGACAATATTAAAATGGATCTAAATGAAACAGGGATGGAGTGTGCACTGTTTTAATTTACCTCAAAATGAGGAGTGGCAGGTTCCCATGAGCATGGTAATGAACCTAATGTTCCAAAAACTGTGGGAAATTTCTTGAGTAACTGAGAAATTATTAGCTTTCAATGGACTCTGCTCCATGCAGCTACTCAAGATAAAATGACAACTAACAAAATGATTTAACATCAAAGGTCCCAGTAAGCTCTGATAAAAAAAAACACACACACACACACACACACAAACAGAAGAAACCAATATAAAGAACAACCGAAGTAAAATGTAAAATTTTCACCTGAAACTATAGTACTTGACAAAACATTCCATAACAGTGGTGCTTTAATGTCACTTAGCTTCATGTAACATTGAATTTCAAAATCACTTCATACTTAAAATATGGGGGCCACACCATAGCTCAAGCAGTTAATGTTGTATTTTAGCGTCCTGTTGCACTGATTCTTGTCCATGATATGTATGTATTGGCCGTCTTCTAGTGACTCAATCTCACGTAACTTCACTACAAGTTTCGGCATCACTGTGCCATCCTCAGGTGTGGTATTTACGTTAAACTATTGCACTGCTCGCCATGTGTCATTTATAAAATTATTTAAAATGTATATTCTTCAGTTACTATAATAAAATTTATATATATTAAAATGTGTTAAGATTTATCATCTTTTACGTCTTAATTCAAACTCGTGTATTATATCATTTTCTGAATTACACACAATTTACACAGAAGAACATAACACAACCCCACCACATTTACCCCCACATCAATATGAAGACACACACAAATCCAGCATTACAACGCACGCAGCCAAAAAAGGACACATTACAAGACACAGTGAGTACTAAACATTATAAAACATGTAACGGAGAGAACTCAAAAGTAATATTAATAAGTACCATTTTCACGTTGCAGGTATACACAAAATATAGGAAGAACAACTCCCGTAGTGGAAGAATGACGGGTCTGGTCAAGTGGTATTTGTGGTGGACAAAGTGGAGGTGGGGCGGGTTTTCTCCGAGTACTTCAGTTCCCCTAACAATCTTCATTCCACCAAATTCTCCATCATCATAATCACCCGGGGCAGGCTACAATAGGCCAATCAGTGGCCGCCCTGCCAAGTGGACCCAGTTGGACTCCAGCCCCTACTAAGCGAATTAAAGAAAAATTTACTTAAAATATTATAACAGGTTTGATCAATGCATTGTCAGGAAAACAGCTCAGTAAACACACTTCCATGAAGGTGCAATGACAGCACTGCAACAGTGGGTAGCTGTCATGTGACATTTGTCTTCTGTAGGCAGCACCCTGCAAGCCAATGGACTGGCTGGGTAGCCGTGACGGCTAGTGGATACAGACTGAAGAGATTAGCCTGAAGTGCTTTGTAGTGTGAAAAACAGGAAGAGTTATAATTAACTGTAGCTACAACCTGTAAATGGTCAATAAATCCAATTACCAATCCAAACCCCGTCTTTAGTCACTAATACACGTGACAACATACTGGCACCCACTTAACCAACAAATATTCATTCCTCAGTAACAATGTCACATGATTTTTATGACTCCCATACATGTGAATTCCAATAATTTATTTCCTATTAAAGTAATGAATCATATCTGCTTCACTTATTTCAGTGTAACTCATATACATTCAATAATTAATTCCTTAGCAGTCACTTTTTAGTGTAACCTTCACTTAGATCAATGCCATAGGCTGGGCCATAGCTCAAGCGGTTAGTCGCTGGCTTCCCACCATGGCAGCCCAGTTTCAATCCCAGGTCTGGTCAAGTGGCATTTGTGGTGATAAAGTGGCACTGGGGCTGCTTTTCTCAGAGTATTTCGGCTTCCCTTGCCAGTCTTCATTCCACCAAATTCACCATCATCATAATCACCCAGGGCAGGCTACAATAGGCCAATCAGTGGCTGCTGTGCCAAGTGGACCCAGTTGGACTCCACCCCCCACTAAGCGAATTAGATCAATGCCTTTCCTATTAACTACTAGCATTTACATCACCTATTTAGGCATAACTCTATACATTCAATCATTATTTTCCTGTAGCAATATAAATTATAATTTATACAGAACAGCTAAACAACAAATAACACATTGGAATTAACACTAACAAAAACTGTTCTGGCATAACCTTCCATGGAATGACTGTCTTTTACACAAGCATATGCAGTATACATAACACTGTGGGAAAGTAGTCTGGGAGGGGAGGAGGGAATTCCTGGTATGCATACACCTCTCACTCTACTGATATATGAAGACCACTCTTTCTTGAATATTCAGGAAATCTCTCAGTAGAAGATGAAGGTTGAAGTCATTCATGAACATGATACAAAACTTCCCGATAGGTGAAATGCCTACAAAAGTAGTTGTCAAGTTCTCATGAGGACCTGTCTAGTTTGGTTCACTGCAGTGCAGGGAAGATGAGCACATGGTCTGTCAGTCAGTGTTCAGTTCAGTACAGTTTAGTGCAACACACAGCAGAGGAGTGAGTCAGGAACTGTTTAGATAGTGCAGTCGGTCACTCGGTGGGTGAGCTAGTAATTCTGTAAATTTTCAGATCAGTCCAGTCAGTCTGTGTGAGTGTTAGTAATAGTTATCCAGTTCTTCAGCCAACAGTTCAGTGTAGTGCAAGAGAAGAAATGAATGCAGTGAGTGAGAAGTGGTGCTGATGTGAAATAGTGTGAATGGACAATTGATTTCAAGGGCATAAGTGGTTACAGGCAGCTGAAAAGTACTTGCTCCATAAAGTAATAATCACTATTGTATCACTTCATTATTGTATTAGGTCTCTTAAATTAGTTTTTCAATTTAATTCACATATTATATAATTATATAATATGTGAATTAAATTTACATAATTGATTATAACTGATTATGTAATCACTCAATCTGAATTCATCAAACTGAACTGTGTTTAAATGATACATATCCTGTCAACAACCAGACATGAAACATACCATCATCGTCCTCATCATCGTCGTCGTCGTCATCATCATCATCATCTTCATCATCTTCCACATTCGGTATTTCTTCTGATGGATTCGTATCAGAATCAGAATCACTGCTTTCAGCACCATCTGCATCCTAAAATGAATATAAGAATTCCTTTTCAACTGACAACTAAATAGACAGCTTACAATCTTCCATCTGGTATTGTACATTGGGGTCAACAAGACATGTACAACAATAGCACAAAAATACTGGTTACTGTAAAATACCAACTTAGAAACCTTAGGTACAGTTGCGATAACAGTACAATTGGTCTTATGCAAGTATCATATTTACATAATCATATGACGACTCCAATAATCCGACATCAAGAAACATGTCTGCAGAGAAAAACTGATTTTATGAAATAATTTCACACTGTTACTCTGAAGTTGTAGGAGATAATAAACATCTAAAAAACATGTCACACATAACTTTTGAACTAACCATCTGCATTCAACTTCACTCTATTCACAATTCCTATCAACTCCTCAGTGTCTGCAATCACCATCTTCTGTTGCATATCCACTATTCATGGTCTCAAATTCCCTGTCAACATTCTCAACATCTTCCTCATCCTCCCACATAATGTTATTCCTCATTCCAATCACTGCCTCAGATACACAGAACTTTTTAAATCCTTTGCCTGTCACGTGTAGAAAGATCTGTTGCCAAGTCCTGATCCAATGGCACAGCAGTTCTACACTAGGCTTCTTTATTTTTCATACTGATCTTACAGCATGGTTCCTGGCCAAATACCATCCAGAATGCAATTCTTCCAAACAGTCCTTAAAGCCTTACTGACAATATTTTGCACTTGTGAGGTCATTCTTCCAGGCATAACAAGGCCAGTATCATTACATGAACTTCATGTCTAACTTCTATATTTAAGTAACCTATAAGGGCATCCATCACAAGCATTCCACTTGTTCTAAACATCATCCCTCATCTCCTGCTGCACACGTGCAACCAATCCACCAGCCCTTTACCCATCCATCCCCTTGACACATGACTATTAGTATGACATTGCTTTTCAGTTCAGTATCTCATATACTGCTAGTTCAGTGATGTCTGCCAAATCTGCATGACAGTCACTACTAACTATTCATTGCCTAATGTTTCTATGATCACAGAGTATGCAGACATATCTCCGACGATGTAACTGAGTGGCATATCAAAATACAGCAGCATTTCATCTGCATCACCTATATGGCTTACAAAGTAACTATTTGTTTTCTGAATCTATATCACACACGCCTGAAAAGTAAGAAGTTTCTCCTGAAAGTCTGATGGTAACCTTTGACAGAGGCATATTTTCATAAAGAAGACCTATTCCTCTTATCATTCATAAACACCACCACCTATAGGTCTTAAATTCCTGACACTTGTTTCGCTTAATGAAGTTACATGAAACTGATACTCATTTTTGCTTCAGAATGCATACAAATAATAATTGTTTCACAGAAGTCACTTAACTAAATTTCTGTTTCCACCTTCACACGTCTGTCTCACAGGAGACAGTACTATCTTCCTGCTTCACAGCTGTCAGTTTGTTTTGCATGTTTAAACACCATAATCTTAAAGTATGAATCATAAATGTGTTCTGACAATTTCTGATAAATTTTTAGGCACATGCATGAATAACTTTCTCAGTTCAAAATAATGTAAAGAGAATTTGGAAAAATTCAAGAAGCAAGGAAAGAATGGGACTTCTCTCTAGCAAACCAGTGATCTCACTGCAATAAGTAAGGTGACCTCATAAGGGGAAACATCCACACAGCAAATGCGTTTTTATGAATTAATTTCATACCCTTACTACAAATATGCAAATGAAACTAAAGACCAGAAAACATGTTACACATAACATTTATTGAACTGGTTTCCTTCAAGAAGAATTTCCTCACCATCATCAGTCTCACTCTGTTCACCAATCCTATTTTCTGTCTCAGCTTCACTGTCTTCACAAGTACAATCTTCTCTCACATAGGCCGTGCCATAGCTCAAGTGGTTAGTCGCTGGCTTCCCACAGCGGTGGCCCGGGTTCAATCCCGGGTCTGGTCAAGTGGGAGTTGTGGTGGACAAAGTGGTGCTGGGACAGGTTTTCTCGGAGTACTTCGGTTTCCCCAGCCAATCTTCATTCCACCAATTGCTCCATAATCACCTTCACCTATCACATGGGGCTGGTACAACAGACCAGAAGTGGCTGCAGTACAAGGGACTTAGTCCCACCCCACTAGCATTAAAAGAATTCTCTCATATCCACTGTTCACACTCCCACAAGCAATGCTAATATTCCAAACTTCTTCCTTATCACTCCTTCCATCTATTATCCATTTTATAACATATAAAGCACTTTTTAAATCCTCTGACCATCACTTCCGGCAAGATCCACTGCCATGATGTCTCGATTCTTTGGCACAGCAGTTCTACATTAAGCATCTTTATTGTCCCGGTGGTGTCGAAATATGGTCCCTTTCCAAGAGTCATTCAGAATATTGTGACATCAGGACTGAAAGTCTGAACAGTTTAACAAGGAAAGTCATCCACTGCTAGACAAAAGACAGTAAACAGGTTTCCATAGCAAACGAAACACACCACTGTCGCAGGATACATATGCAACAATACAAGAACTGTTGGAAGTGGTGTTTTCTACTGAGTCAGTACCATGGCTGTATAAGCAGACCAGACAGGCACTTGACAGCGAGCGTGAGAGACAGAATAGCCAGTGAGTGGACAGCTGCTGAGAATGTGAAGACATACTTGAAGCCATGGGTTCGGTCTGAGATAGTCACCAGCCAGTAACATGATCAGAAGAGGACACTATTAAGATCTGTTACCAGAAAACGCCTAAGGAAGATAAACTAGAGAACTTAGTGCATGTCATAGTGAACTGTAAAGCGGGTAAATTAGCAAAAGCGCTACAATCTCTGTAGGTCTGAGTTTTAAGTGTTCAATATTCCATAACATGAATACTAGACAAAAATATAACTTCCATCTACCTTCATCAAACTTATCACTATATCAAAAAGGAGTCTACTTTTCTGGCATAAAAGTGTATAACAGTCTCCCACAAAGTATCAAAAACTTGAGTAATGATACTAAACATTTTAAATCAGAGCTAAAGAAATATCTGCATGCTCATTCCTTCTACTCTGTAGACGAATACCTCAATGTAAATAGAGAATAATGTAGAAGTAAGCTATATTAGTTTAAGATAAAATTACTTGTACCACTAGGTATTATTTTGACTTTTTCTATATCCAGAGGTATTAACCTACTTAGGATCTATGGAATGCAAATAAATTCAATTCAATAGATGTTAATTATATACAAACACATATAATGTCTGTAATGCACAATGTACACAGTGTTCAACCTTTCACCTTCACAGGTTGAACACTGTGTACATTGTGCATTTCAGATATTATATGTGTATGTATATAATTAACATCTATTGTAATAGTAGTTTCCGGAAAAGTATCGATGCCCTCCGAGGATGATCCGAAGGGATCAAAACATGTATGGGTGAGGAGTCTTCAAATGATAAAACTTACATAGTCACACTAGACGGTGTTATTTTTGTCTTTGTAATTGTCAGTGTGACCAACCAGAATGATACAAATCAAATTCATGGTTCAACAATTCACTATTACAAATGGTAGCAGTTCTGCATCATCTGCCAGCCTTACAGTCACTAGCATCTCTTCACTACCTGATATTTTTATGGTGGATTTTGCACCTACATCACATGCATGTAACAAGATGACATATGATTGGCTTTCCCCCTGTACTGCCTATTTTGCCAAAACTGATGTTTCAGGACAACAGATTTTGCACCTACATCACTGATGTAATTGGATGGCATAATGAAATACAAGGGTACTCAATGGCACTGCCCCAAAGCGTAATAGTTAATTCTTCCAAAGTGAATGCATCATAAATTCTTACATCTGGGGCAAACAGTGAACTGCTGGTATTATCTCGAAATGCTCAAACGTCTGAGAGAAAGACCTCCTTGTTCCTCTGTCATGACAATGAGCCAGCTCATGCATTGCTAGTGATTCGAACTTTCAGTCTGGGAAATAAGAAAAAGTCTGCCAGAGCCACGTCAGGTGAGCAGGGTGGCTGAGGAAACACAGTTGTGTTTGCATTGGTCAAAAGGTCATAAATCAGTAGCAATGCATGAGGTGGAACAATGTCTTGATGGAGAAACCAGGAGTTGTTTCTCCACAACTGAGGTCATTTTCACCCAACATTTTCTCTCAGATGTTTCAGCACTTCGAGATAATACCAGCGACTCACTGTTTGCCCCTGATGTAAGAATGCATGATGCACAACACCCTCGAAGAAAAAGAACCGTCAACATGACTTTTGTGTTCATGAATATCGGCCATCTGCAAATATCCCAAGACACACTCTATATGCATGTGAACAAACAGCTCTAGGATGATGACTAATCAGACCAAGATGACAGCAAAAAGTATGATAATTAGGAAGCTCGCCACTAGGCAGCGTAACTTACCCAACATTGCTAAGATGTCAAGTTGGCATGCTACTTCAAAAGTTCTGGAACTTTTTGAACAGACCATATATTTCTTTCTCTTGCTTTCTCAAAGCACGGACATGTTTGACAGTTGCAGAATAGTATCTACTGAATTATAGTCTTGGCTGATCACTCTGTCCCCTTGAAGAAAACAATTGACAGAGAAGCTACATAATTCCCCTCAGGAAGACGTCCACATTAACCTTGTACACTACACTACCTGTGTGTCATCCTCTTCATGCTCGTACGTTGGATTGGTCTGACTTCTTACAGGATGATCATTTTCAACCTGAGCAGGTGGAACTTCAGCCTCCATGTTGAAAGTGGTATTCAAGATATTGTCCTCGCTGGAACCACCTTCCCTGTATTGAAATCAGTAACGGTTATTTTATGGAATTTCTTAATATTCATGTATGCCAAACCATTCTTACCTGTTGTAACAGGATTTATATACGTACTGCATGTCCCTGTATAGTTGTGTTCTTGTATTACTGTTCCACCTAGGCCAGAGGAAAGGGAATACTGCACTGAGGATGTAAGATCCAGCACAATACAGTGGACCTTATGTGATGTGCTTTTATTAGTGGTTAAAACTTGGAGTGGAGTACAATGCTCACTGGCTCTGGATTGCAAACCTCCTCCCCGACAAAGGAAACACAAAGGGGGGTTGGGTTAATGGGAACTTTGGGCACTGCCAGTCATTAATAACTTTGAAAACAAAACCACAAGTATAGATGGTACAAAAAATTATGGGAAAACAGATGTGAATACATAGTTAACAATTGCTAATTATAATAAATGTACCACCAAAATGCCCTAATTTTATGCAATGGTTTTCCATAAGCACAACATTAATAAACTGGCGGCTCAAAGTTTTTTGTCAACATAATGATTTCCTTTACATAATATGTATTTATTCTACCATGGACTCACTGTACATGTCCAGTGATGCGTTAATATGGCTACATCACAACTTTGCGAACTAACTCCATGGATCTGGGGTCCTTCTTGAGTAGCTATAAGCTGCTCAGCTACTCAAGTAATTCACAGTATTTTAACCGTTCAGCATGGTTTGACGTGTATGTTTCGTCAAGGTATTTAAATCGTCTGCGGGGGTTCGACGTCTATGTTTCGTCCAGCTGAAGACCTATGTTATAACGCCCATAATAATTGATGGTTTTGCTGTAGATTGTTAGATTTTTCGCTGGTCTGTTGTCAGAAGGACAGTATATAATAAGACACGACTTTAGCTGCGTTAAATCATCGCTACATATGCCTGTCTTGCAGCAAAATCCTGTTGCTCTTGGGAGAGATTTCCTCATTCAAACTGTTATGAATGGCGTGTTTTTTTTCCTATGAAGTTATAAACAGCAGAGACGTGATATGTGCTGTGTTTATAATATCATATTGCCCTGAGCTGGCCACACCAACACACTCAATTGGAATTCTTAGAAGAGG